AAAAAAAAAGAAACAGCCAACGAAGTGAAGAGACAACCTATGGAATGGGGTAACATTTTTGCCAACTATTCCTTGGACAGAGGGCTAACATTTAGAATATATAAAGAACTCAAAAAAATTAGACACTTTCCAAAATAAAAGACCCAATCAAAAAATGGGTAACTGAAATGAATAGATATTCTTCAGAAGTACAAATGGCCAACAAATACATGAAAAAATGTTCAACATCGTTGGCCATAAAAGAAATAAAAATTAAAACAACACTGTGATTCCACCTTACCCTGGAAAGAATAGCCATCATCAATAGATTAATTAACAACAAATGCTGGTGAGACTCCAGGAGAAAAGGAACCCTTCTACACTGTTGGTGGGAATGTAAGCTGGTACAACCACAATGGAAACCAGTGTAGAGGTTCCTCAAAACACCAAAGCTAGAAATTCCATTTGGTCTAACCATTCCCTTCAGGTGATCTCCCAAAAGAGTTAAGCCATATTACAGTGCTGTGTGTATACCACATTTACAGCAGCATAATTCCAATAGGTAAATCTTGGAAACAGCCTGTATGTCCAATAACAGATGAATGGATAAAGAAAATGTAGCATTTGCACATGGTGGAGCACTACTCGGTCACAAACAAGGATAGAATTAAGCCATCTGTAGGCAGGAAAACTGATATGCCTTGAGACCATAATGGTAAGTGAAATAAATCAGACCCATGAGCTGAGACAGCATACGGCTTCTCTTCCTTGAGAAACCCAGGTATGAAGGAGGAACAGGACACAGACAGTGGGAGGCAGTGGGTCGTTTTCAGACGAGAAGGGACATGAGGGGTGGAAGGAGGGGAGGGAAAGGGAATGAGAAACGGAAGGAACTGGGGGAAGGAGGTGAGGCTTCTGCAGATGGGAAGGAGGGGAAGGGAGGAGGCTGGAGAGAGGAGGAGCTGGATGCGCTGCGTGAACCGGCTCCCACCACGGCTGCAGTCACTGTGCACTGCAAGCATGGACTAAGAAAGATAAAATGAAAAAGAAACCAAGCGCAAACTCCTCTGTGTGTGCATGTGTACGTGCATGCGTGCATGTGTGTGTGCACGCGCGTGTGCGTGCACACTCCACTCTGTCCTTTGCAACCAGCCCAGCTGTAGCAGCCTCTCTGGAGCTCAGAGTATGGTGAGGAAATACTACATCACCACGAAGAAGCCAGGGCTTCTTGGAAAAAATGATCCTTGTTATTTCAGGAGCTAATTCCTTTCACAGAAACAGGAGACCACGGTAAACCTACTCAAAAACGAGCTCAAGAAACCACAGTGAATTTGCTGAGAAAACAAAAGGTGAAAATCAGAAAAGGTTTCCAATTTGCCACATAAGTGGTAACACACAAGGCTGGACAAGAGGTCATTCCCCATCAACCTGGTAAAGGCCACCAGGGGTGACAGGCTGGAGGCGCTCAGGACGTAGCCCCAAGCTATAGGGGCAGCAGCCACTGCTCTCTAAGGAAAGCAGGGAGTAGCTAGGAAGCCACAGCCTTTATCTCTGCACCACACACACACACACACACACACACACATGACTCAGGCGGTTATGCAAACATCTACATCACAAAAACAAACAAAACTAAGACAGTGTTCTGTTCTTTGGGCCGAAGAATGGAGGTAAGCAGGCAGAGCAGGCCATGGGGCAGCACCCACCTGCTGAGGGCAGAGCAGATCCTCCCAGGAGCAGCACCAAGACCAGCTCTCTGAGGACACAGCCCAGCAGAGGACCGTGTGCATAAGTGGCTCTCTACAGAGGAAATATGCTGGATCTGCAGAGGCCACACCCAGATGGAGTGTAAGACAGTCATAGGTCAGGACAGGGTGAAAGGAGATGATTTTTCCACTTTTCGGTCTTCTGTAGTATTTTATACTTTATCACATGCACTTATCACCATTTCAAAAGCCTACTTCTTAAAAATGATCAGAGAAAACCAGGTGTGGTGACATATGCCCGTAATCCCAGCACTTGGGAGACTGAGGCAAGAAGATTGCTTGAAGTTTGAAGCCAGCCTGGGCTATATAGTGAGTTCAAGGCCAGCCTGAATAACATAGTGAGATCCTGTCTCAAAAAATAAACAACATGATCAGACAAGCCATACATAGTGGTATAGGGAGGCTGAAGCAGGAGGATCACAAGTTCAAGTCCAGCCTGGGCAACCTGGCAAGACCGTGTCCCAGCTGGTGGTATAGTTCAACAATACAGCACCTGCCTGGCAAGTGCAAGGTCCTGAGTTCAATTTCTGGTACCAGAAAAAAAAAAAGGAGCATATCCAAAAAAAGACCCTGTCTCAAAGTTCAAAGACAATAAATAAGAGGAGACTGTGTAGCTGAGGGTGAAGGCCTGGGTCCAATGGGGGTAGGGGTGGTATCAGACAGGTATGAACCATGAGGAGTCTCAATTACAAAGTCCTCTCCTCAACTCCTCTACCCCTGGGGCCTGCGAACAGCACAGCACTCAACCTCACAGTCAGCCTGAGGAGCTGCCCAAGCCCTGGAGTCAGGCAGCAGCTACATGAACAACACAGAAGCTGCCAGGCCTAGGCAAAGTCCTCTAACCTGCGGCCCCTGAGGAGGACCCCCGGAGACTGCATAGTAGTCCACATGAAGACCACCGCTACCCACGCCATCCAGCAGTCTCCTCTTTTCCAGATTAGGAAGCAGGGCAGGGACTGTAAAGGGAGAGACTGACTTCCCCATGAAGGCAGTGGTCCTCTATTTGATAATAACACTCAACTAATTCTGCGTTGGTAGATTTAACACACTTTATAGTGTGTGATAATAATAATTTTAAAAATTATTATTATAATTTAAAAATTTTAAATAATTAAAAAAAAACTATACAGAACCTTTTCCAGGAAGAAGCACAAAAGGGCAAATTTTGCAAAGTTTTAGAGGCTGCACAAATTCCACAATTCTTGGTACCTATCCCAGCCTCTCTTCTCCCGGTTGCTCAGTTTAGAGCCCTAAGTAGAACCCTGGCCACCAGAGGACTGCTTCCCAGCCTGCCTTGCAGCAAGCAGTGGTCCAAGGCCAGGCACAGGTGCACAGCCCCAGGGTCATCCTCAGAGAGACCTCACTCCTGTACTTCCAAGCCTGGGGGAGCGGGGAGCAGGGACCGAGGAGCAGGAATGGGCCCAGGAGCAGGTGAACTGGGAGGAAGGAGCCCAGGACTTCACGGCCACCCTGAAACTCCCCCTAAAAAAAGACAATAACCAACCAGCAGGTTTAAAACAACCTGTGGTCCCTGGGCCACAGACACCATGGCAAATACCTGCCTCACCGAGGTCCAGTGGAAACAGTCTTAACACCCAATTCAAGACTCTCCCTGGTGTCTAAAAGCTCTGCAAAATGGCTTTAGAAAATACTATGAGCCCACCATAAAATCCTGATCCTAACCTCCAAATGAAGACACTACCATTATCCAAGTTGTTTATTCAAAGTGATTCTGTTGCCAGGATAAAGAGTCATTTAAAATTCTGTAACAGTAGAGGTTTCAATAGAAAAACTGGGGCAACGAGCCTAAAATGCTGGAACAGAGCCCTGCGCGCGGTTGCCATTTTGGCATGTGAAAGTTGCCGTTTCTCAGAAGTCCTGGGGGTAGTCCAATCTTCATATAATAAAATAGCTGGACCAAGATTAACATGCAATAAAGACTCATACTGCAATAACTACTTAGAACCTGCAGTTCCCAGGGTGCTCACAGTAAGAAGAGCGCTCACAACCCCACATAAGGCACTGAATGCTCCACAGGGGGGGATGGCATAACCACACTGTCAAACGCCATGAATGAGAACAACTTAAATTACACAAGGCGAGTTGGGAAGGTCTGCAGGATCGCCAACCGGAAGAAACACAAGCGGGAAGTTCCCGAGCAGTGCGTATAAGACAACACCAACTCTGCCCCCTGGGAGGCACAGGCTGTCCAGGGTCTGCCGACCACAAGGTCCCCAGCTGAAGGTGGTGACTAGGGAGGAGACCCAGGGCTCCCTCCCCTTGTGCTCTGTGCTATCAGTGGTCTGGCCCCATCAGCACCTGTTACTTCTTGGCCGAGTCACAGTGGACCCTGGAGAGCCTTTGACCTGCCACAGATCCCCCTCAGTCACGGCTGTGCCCAGGGATGCAGGGAAAGAGCCACTTCAGATCCAGGCCCCTCCTGTCCTCCTCTGCCCTGCCAACTCCTCTGGGCTCCCAGACCTCCGAGTCCTACTTCCTCTACCCGCTCCAAACCACACTCCCATCCCTCATGCGCTACTGGGGATCCCAGGAACTCCCTCCACTAGTCGCTGGTGCTCCCCACCCCAGCCCTGTTCCTCTATTCCCCTAAGTCCTAAGTCGACACTCCCCAGAGCTGCCTGTCCTGGCTGTCTCTTCTCCTTGCCCCCAGAGTCCACTCTTCCCCAGAGCTGCCCAGTCAGGCGCTCCACTCCACTCCCTCCCACAGGCTCTTCTACTTGCTGCTGTCTCTGCTGCTTCTGTCACCTCCCTGCCACTGCTGCCCAGGGCTCAGTGCTGGGCCCCTGCTCTGCTGGCACAGGCACAGGCCACGCCACCTGGGGGCTATATCACGTCCTGCTGCTACAGCTCCAAACTCGGCCTCCCAGCTCACCTGGAGAGAATACCAGGTTTGCCCAACACACTGCCCCTGGCGTCTCCCCTGGGGGCCTCATTCAACAGTCTCACTTTGTTGTTGTTTTTTTTTGTACCGGGAATCGAACTCAGGACCTTATGCTTACAAGGCAGGCACTGTGCCACTGAGCTATCTCCCCAGCCCAACAGTCTCACAGAAGCAGCTGAACCCACTTCCACACGGCCCAGGCCAAAGCTCCCATCCTGGTGGGTTCCTCCGTCGCCCTCTCTGCAGACCCTAGCCTCATCCACCACCCAACACTGCCTGTCTGGACAAGGCCCACCACCTCACACAGGGCTTCATGTGTGGCACCCACAGGGCCCCCACCCTGGCGGGCAGCTGAGGGATCACACCCCACACAAATCAGACACATCCCGCAGCTGCTCAGAGCCCTCCAAAGGTGCTGGCCTGCTGTGAGGGCCCTCTGCACACCCCTCCAGAGCCTCCCTGCAGCCCTGCTCCTGTTCACTCACTCGACCCCAGCCATCTGGCCCCCCAGCTCATCTGGTACGGCCAGCTCAGGACCAACCAGGTGTCTACCTGCCCCCTCCTGGTCTCTGTCCATCTCCTCAGTGATACTGCACTACAGCAGTCTGAGTCCCCACCAACAGCTGCCCCCACCTGCTCCCCTTTCCTGCCCAGCACCTTGCATCTAACTTACTACATAAGGCCATGCTGGGCAGAGGCCACATCACCAAACTCACCACGGAGCTCACCGCCTCGGAAAGCACCAGCCCTGACGGAGCCCAAAGACTTGGCCTTTGATGAACCCAGCGGGAGGGTGCTCTGCTCAGGCCGTACCCTGAGGCAGGGGATGGCACCAGCACCCACTGGACGGCCCGATCCTCAGGACACCACTAGTGCCCCATTAGTATGTACAATTACTAATTGAAATTTTTAATTAAAAAATAAAACCATTCAGTAAACACTGAAGAAAATATAAGCCACTAGCCTGTTGTCAAGAGTGGATAGTCAACTGAAATATGCAGCTGCAAGTATATTTCTAACTGCTGGTTTTCAAATCCTTTGACTACCCTGAGAAAAATCACACAGGCACTGAACGAGGGATAAAAGAAAAGCCACTTTAACTGAGCAGAAAACTTAGGTTTTAGCTGCAAGGATCAAAAAAGTGTACATGTCCCAGACTCTAGAAAGCTGCAAGAGGAAGAAGATCATGAGTTTGAGCCCAGACTGGGAAATTCTGCAACTCTGTGAGACCTTGTTCCAAATGAAAGATAAAGAGCGGAGGATACAGCTCAGCGTGAAGGCCCTGGGTTCAGTCCCCCATACCACCAAATAAATATACTTGGGAAAAAAAAAAACAAACTGTACATGGCAAACACCAGCTCTCGGTCCATGAGAAACAGCTAATTCAAGGCCCCTGCTCCACCAGGGGCCCTCCACAGTCTTCCCGCCCCCACAGCAGCCATCTCACACAGGTCATTTTGTTAGGAAGGCTGAGGCAGAGCGGATTCTGTTCCCACCAGTTTATGAGGACAGGTATTCCTCGCAGAGCTGTTTCTCCTGTCACTCTTTGCTAAGCCCTCATGCCTCGTATGACTTGGGCAAAGTTCCTTCCACAGGAAGAGGCACAATACAGCCAGACGCTTACGCTCCAGGGTGGGGCTGTTCCACTGGATGACTGGCTTCTAGTCCCCAGATTTTTGCAGCACAACTAGTCTAGAGCTGCAGTCCACATACCACAGTAAAAGCCTGGAAGGGACCCTGGAAATCACCTACAGCTGCTCCAAAAACTTCCCTGTAGGGACGACACCTACAGGGTCAGAAACAGCCCAGAACAAGCACAAACAAGATGCAGCACCAACGCCAAGCCGGGGCTATGTTTCCATGCAGAAAAGAAGTCTGGAAACAGCAAGCTTGTGCCCAAGGAAGAGCCCAGTCCCCAGGCCCAGGCGGGCCCTCCATCTTGTACCACCTGTCTCCCGAGACTCCACGGCCCGTGCGAGCTGAAACGGCAAGTCCACGGCATCACAAAAGTCAGGACAGTTTCCACTTCATTTCCACTTACACAAGTGGCTAAGCAGTGCTCAGAAAGCAGCCTCCAGGAACCAGTAACCCGCTGGGAGGTCAGAGATTGTCCCATTTAGTCCACTTTTGTCGGGATATTAGAGTAGTAACAAAATAAACGAAAGTAGCTATGAAGTCAACAAAGAAATCAATTTTTATTAAACTAACACAGGTGAGAAAGCTCAGCTCACTCCCCAGTCTAAGGCAGAGTGTATACAGGATGAAACAGCCAGCTGGGAACAGACATGCGGTCAGGTTCACAATCAACTGGAACATCAGGAAGAAGCG